ATGATTTAAAATAATTTATGATTTTTCAAGTAAGCAGGCAAGCAATTAATTTGACGACGTATATATACTCATCACCTCGCCTATACATTGTTCACATGCAATTCACATAACAAATAATTTGAGGGTTCTATTCCCTCAAGTCAAGGTTAACCACGACACTTACCTCGCTTTATAAATTCCAATCAATTACTCTACCACAACTTTTCCTTTTAAATTTATCTCCAAAAGCTTCAAATCTGTTCATAAACAATTCAATATACTCAATACGAATCATAGGAATTAATTCTATATGAATTTACTAATATTCAGGATAAAAATCTAAAATTCCTTAAAATATTCGACAGTGGGACCCATGTCTCAAATCCCGAAAAAACTCATGAAATCCGAACGCCCGTTTCGCTACGAGTTCAACCATACAAAAATTATCCAATTCCGATGTCAAATGAACCTTCAAATCTAAATTTTTCGTTTTTGGAAGATTTTAGAAAAATCTGATTTTTCTTCCATAAATTCACGGATTCATGATATAAACGAGTATGAAATCATGAAACATAATCAATATAGGATAAGGAACACTTACCCCAATGTTTCCCATGAAAATCGCCCAAATATTCGCCTTAACCGAGCTCAAAATGACCAAAATGAGTAAAAATGTCGGACTATTCGATATATACACTGCCCAGGCATTTCCGCACCTACGGTGTCTGGACTAGCACAAGCGAGCTCGCATCTGCGAGAAAAACCTCTAGCGGTGAATCATCAGTAATCTCCATGTCCATCGCCACCAAATGTTGCCGAACGGGCATAAGCTGCAATCGACTGGCCCCACACAATGTAGTCGGCTTCGCTGGTTGGAAACCGGTAAGCCGCTGCAACATATGAGGTAATCCACTCCCGTATAGTCTCTAAGAGCATGTGGGTAAGCTACAGGTATACCATCAACAGGCAGCCCAAAAAGAACCTCCACGTCCTCAAGCGTGATGGTAGCCTCGCTGATGGGTAGATGAAACATGTGCGTCTTCGGTAGACACCGCTCTATCATAGCCGTGATCAACGCCCAGTCGAACTGCAACCGACCAATCTCTATGATTCTGTAGAAACCCGTACCCTGAAGGCGTCTAACTATACAGGGATGCAGTGGGTGGTCCTTAATGAACTCCCACATATCGTTTGTACGTCTGAGGCGGAATGTCTGGGATAGACACTGCCCATCCCAGATGTGTGAAGACCTATGGTTGCCCTGTAGCAACAGTAGCTCTCGAGATGCAGGTCCGAGATGCACAGGGGGAACCTCCATGACGATGTCTGTAAATTGAACAATATTAATTAAAGTATTTTTCTGTTTAATTGTTTATCATCTTTAAATATATTTGCAATATATTTTATATTAATATTAAATCGATATTTTTTCTATATTATTACTTAGGTCGATACATTTTCTATATTATTATTTTATATGTTAGTTTCTTACATTATTTTATATGTTAGTTTATTATTTTATATGTTTGTTTCTTACTCAGCTATTTTTGGGTATAATAAAATTAAATAATTAATTTTCATAACTATACGTGATATAATTAATAAGTATTCATATGAAAATACTTAGTTTGACAAATTTTCTATATTGTTGTTTTTATGTTATTTTCTTATATTTGTTGACTAAAATTCGAGAGGGTTTGTGTTTGAACTACCATTTTTTTTCCAGATATTTTTGGGGTTAACAGAGAATTAAATGATTAATTTCAATACCTAAAAAGATAATTAAGTAATTATTCATATAACAAATACTTAGGTTGATAAATTTTCTATATTAATATTTCATATGTTAGTTTCCAACATTTTTCTACTAAAATTCTGCATGGTTTTGTTTGAACTATCATCTTTTTAAAGTTATTTTTGAATTATATATTAAAATTTCATAAGTAATCAAGATATATTCAATAATTAATAATATAAAATATATTACAAACTTAATAGTAAATAATATTGAATTTACTTCATTTGTAACGATTTATTTGTTAACTGTCATATTTTGCCCACATTTTCCGGCAACTGATTATTTTATGATTCCTAGCTAATATTTGACAATTATCTACTGATACATTAAATCCATAATTGAGTACTTTATCCGAGTTTGTTAAGGAGAGCACGTAGTTTTTATTCTACACAACGGAATTTTAAAGAGCACTAAAGTAACACTACTCTAAATGACCATAAACAAAGTCAACTACCATGAGCTAAAATTTATTATTAATTTTACTACGCTAAAGGGCGCTACATAACAATTAAGGGCACAACATAACACTAAAGGGCACTAAATAACAATAAAATCACATATAACAATAATTATTCATAAAATAACAATATATCTTTTTTACTAATTTTTTAGCACATAAATAAACTAATTCGGATAAAAAAACAAAAAATTAATTAAATTACAAAACGATCACAAAAAAGTATAGACCACAGTAAAAAATAACTAATAAGCATTTTATATACATGAGTTTTACCAAAAAGTAAGTCGGAATACTTCGATTTGAAGTTTTTTAAATGTGAAAAATTAATGATTTGGGAGCCGAAACGAGCAATAGACGAGATCCATTACACGACAACGCCTTGGATCCGGTGTTAGCTTGCTAAATTATGAAGAAGACACAATTTTTGGGGGACGGGTGGGCTCCAATAAAGTTTTTTGGTTAAAAAATGGGGGGGGGGG